CAGCTTTCGTAAGGCAGAGTACAATTTCTAATATTATAATTCCCTATAACAGTGGTATCATGAAAACGATCTTGAAATATTGCGAGCAAGGGTTTGGTAAAGAAGCATACTATAACTGCAACAACGATAATGTTAGCAAACATATGTCGTTTACATGCGTACTTCGATCATACTCGCGCTATGGGAATATCATGCCAATGTATGCAAATAAAAGTAGACAAAACGTTAACTTAAACACGAATTCAATCCCCAATCCAATAGCAATCCTGATTAAAGATGACTTCACGACAGACCAATCAGAGAGCTGAAAGTTTGTAATCGTATATAAAACGATATGGGATTGGCTTAGTATCAGTGAAATGTTCTCAACATTACCAACGCAAAGCTTCGTTCTGGTTCGATAACCTCTGAAGTACGCCATAATACCATATTCCTACATATAGCAGTCGGCACCATTGCTAAGGTCGGTGTCAACATAGCCAATATACAACGCATCATCGAGGGAATTAAACCACTTAACAACAGCAAATTTGTAAAACATTGCCATTGTATAGGAGCTTAATGAAGGCACTAGAAGAATCATGAAAATATGGAAACCCGAATATGATACAGTTGGATGATTTTGTCGAATTTTGCGCACCACAATCACAGATTCCCAGAGACCAGCGACAGCAAATAATAAAACTATTGGGACGTCGTAACTTTTGATCGGACCCGAATGTCATCACCATATAGGAGTAAAAAGCTTAAATATAATGTATTAACTAAACCAGCCAGTTGGCCACCAAAATGGTCGTTGAATAATGACGCTTAAATTCGTTCCAACCAAATAGAACAACCAACGTCAAGGGAAACCACATATAAAATATTACTTTTTGAACTCTCTCGCCGAGTAATCTTATTCTCTTAACATGAAATGAAAGAGTGTAGTTTTTATTCCGCCATTCAGAACATAAATCGGTTGTTCTTAAATCAAAATATATAAGAGCCATCCCTGTAAATAACAAAGGCAGTACAGCTAAGGTCAGGGACGCCGGAACGATAATAGGGCAAAGGGGGGCGGACGCACACCAAGGGCACCTTTACTGAAAATTTTTTTCACTGCAAAATTGTCAGTGTACCATTTTAGGGGTCAAAAATGTTTTCCGGACATACAAAAATTTTCCGTGAAGCCAAAATTTTTTCCGGATATCTTAAATTTTCGCCATTTCTTCAAAATATTTTTCTACATTCCAAAAATTTCCCAAAATTTTTATAAATATAAACTATAAATTACCTGAATCTCGTGATTTTCCTACAAAAAGCATCGTTGGAAATGTGATTTATCACGTATTATTTTACAACTAAAAGGGCACTTCTGCCCCCCCTGCCCCCCTAGCAAAAGGCAAGGGGGGCAGCCGCCCCCCCTGCCCCCCAGTTCCGGCGTCCCTGGCTAAGGTTATGGTAAAGTTCGCTTTCAGACTTCTCAGTAATGACTGGATATAAGTAGGCTTGTTTCGTAGTTCATACCCTAGTTGTAAATACTCTGTTTCTAATGGTAGATTACCTTCTGCAGAAACGTGTTCTCTGTGAATTTTATCCTCCCATGTATAGCGTGAACATTGCTCCGATGGACTTGTGTTGTTAATCCTTTTCCAGGAAAGTCTTGGAGCATCCATAATTAAGGCAGAAAACAATGACAAGAAACAAGCGATTATCTCTTCCAACATTTTTCAAATATCAATTGACATAGCTACAATACAATTATGCAAGTGTTATATTCTGACCAATACAGCAGGATCGTCGGGGCCGTATGGGTAATAACTCAACAGAAGAATATCGCCGGATATCACTGACACCAACAACAAGGTTTCTTTTATCACATATATATTTTATATTATTGTGCGTCTTCGTGCGTAGATATATTGATAGACGCAAACATTTCTCACTACAGTCAACTCACTGAGACACTAACTGTTTCTTGACAGTCACCATATACATTGTCTCATCTTAATTAAGTTACGCTATTGTGCATTGTTCATCAATGGTTCATCTTAATTAAATTACACTATTGTGCATTGTTCATCAATGGTTCATTGTGTGCTCCCATGTACATGACCATCACGTGCAATACTCGTGCATAATTCTAGTGTATTATTTCCGTATATGCTGAAACCCTGTTGTATTTCGAGATGCGTAGCGTTCAAACTCAAAGCTTCGTTTGACAAGGAAATGAAGTAAGAACAATAATATCAACAAGCAGAGACAGTAATATTACTTTAAAAACTCATTAATAATTCAGGAGCAAAACACAAAGAAAAATTATAAGCGTGTCGTGGTTTTATATGATAAAAAATCATGTTAATTTACATAAACTTTAGCTTTGATTTTCTCGGTTTAGACAAAGTTTATTTTAAAAATTACTTCGCCAATGAACTCGTATAAGATGAGTCGTTTTTTAAGCTACTTAAAGCACTTGTAGTCGTGTTTTATCACATATAAAACACTCCGCTACGCGTCGTGTTTTATATGTGATAAAACACTCGTACGCGTGCTTTAAATAGTACATCCTCGTTCCCAGGGCTTCTCTTTTTTAGTTGCAGTTTCACTTTAGTTTGCCGTTCGTATTAGGTATCACTCTGTGAACATTTTAACTTTAAGTGTTACAAAAAGCGGTTTTTTTTTACATCTAAACAACGTTTTGTATAGCACAAACTAGAGTAGAATAGTATTAGTAAATTATTTTATATAAATAACTTACGAAGGTCAAACATTTATAGTCTTTTTTACTAGGAAAAGAGTTTATTTTATTTAAGTTTTTCTTCGCGAGCGATCGACCCATTTTCGTATAACAGCGGCCCATATACAAGATCATATATAAGATCAGTGAGCAGTCCGTACTGCTTTCTGAAAAAAGGTGTCAATTTCCCGCGCGTAATACAAAATGACTGAAAAACGGCAAACTTCGCAGGGCTATATCATCCGCATTTTACAACATTTCGCAACGAAACTTCGGAATATTACTAATTTTGTGATGCTCTTTCAAGCTGTCATGAAATTTTTGTCTAGACTTGTCTTGATCAAAATTTTGTTCATTAGGGAATAATAGACATTACATCTTCGCAGGAGGTCTTTGTCACCTCAATAGACCTTATCCGGCACTTCATATGTATTGAAATACATGCATGTAATTTGCCTGTCTAGAAATTCCAAGTCAAGTGTCATTGTACAAAACGAAATTGGAATGTGGCACCGCATTGTCGTTTGAAACCAATTTCCGCAGGAACTTTAACCACCAAATGCGAAACTACTAGTCCATACATAATAGTTTTGGAAAATAATTAACCTTATTGTTTTGCTGATGTTAGTGTCGTTCTTGCTCTGCAGCCTCCTTGTCGAACGAACCTTTCAGTTTCATCGTGAATCACGTCTCTCGAAAAAGGAAATTATCAACAAATGACTTTAAAAGGGTATTAAACTTGGTTATATAAATCTTGCCAATCAATTGATATTTTCACAATGTTGGAAGAAATAATCGTTTGTTTCTTGTCATTGTTTTCTGCCTTAACTTTGGATGCGCCACGACTTCATTCTCGAGAAATTAACGACCATGAACGTCTATCAGAGCAATGTGCACGTTATACACGGAAGGATAACATTCACGGAGAGTATGTCTCGTTTGAGGAAGAGAATTTACCATCAGAAACAGAGAATGTACAAATAGGGTATGAACTGCGAAACAAGCCTACTTATATCCAGTCGTTACTCAGAAGTTTGAAGACGAACCTTATCATAACCTTAACTGTACTGCCTTTAGTACTTATAGGGATGGCTCTTATATATTTTGATTTAAGAACAGTTGATTTATGTTCTGATTGGAAGAATAAAAACTACACCCTATCATTTGAAGCTAGGAGAATAAGATTAATCGGCAAAGGAGTTGAGAGCATGATACTGTATCTCTCGTTTCCCTTCACTTTGATTGTTCTATTTGGTTGGAGAGAATTTAAGCGTCATTATTCCTCGACAGTCTTAGTAGGCCAACTGGCTGGTTTATTTAACACATTGTATTTAAGTTTTTTACTCCTATATGGTGCTGACAATACGGATACAATTAAAACGGACTACGTTCCAGCACTAACATTTGCTGTCGCTCTTTTGTGGGGATTTGCGATTCCAATGCGTAAAATTCGACAAAATCATCCAACTGTATCCTACTCGGGTCTCCATATTTTCACAGTGGTTGCAGTGCCTTATATGAGCACCTTTGCAATGGCAATGTTTTACAGATACGCGGTTCTGAAATGGTTTAATTCCCTCGGTAATGTATTGTATAGATTCATATTGGCTATGTTGACACCGACCTTAGCACTGGTGCCGACTGCTGTATGTAGGCACATGGCATTATGGCGTACTTCAGAGATTATCGAACCAGGACGTAGCTTTGTTCTGGTTTATTTCATACGGGCTTCCTTCATTACTTTGTATCGTATCATGCAAGCAAACTTTGGGAACATCTGGTTGTTTGTCGGGCTATCTCTTCTATCTGGTGTTTCGAGTTTGCTTAAAACAGCGACTGCTGGTATTCGTGCGAAAGTATGGGCGCGAGTTATCACGTTTCTGAACAGAACATGCTGTACAAGACTTCACCATTTGCCTGGAAATACACCACATCATAGGCGGCTGAAAGCAGACACCGAGATACAAAATATACTTTTTGAGAACAACTCACTGATTCTAAGCCAATCGTACATCGTTTTATATACCATTACAAATTTTCAGCTCTCTGATTGGTCTGTCGTGAAGTCATCTTTAATCAGGATTGCTATCGGATTGGGGATTGAATTCGTGTTCAACTTTTTGTCTACTTTTGTTCGCATGCATTGGCATGATATTCCAATAGAGCGAGTGTGGTCAAAACACTGGAAACGACACGTGTTTGCTAACGGAATCGTTGTTGCAACTTTAGTATGCTATTGTACCAGACCTTTACTCACAGTATTTGAAAATCGTTTTCATGATACCTCTGTTTCAGGGAATGTTACCATTAGAAATTGTACTCTGCCTTATGAAAGCTGGCGTTAATTTTACAAACATAAAACTGTAGACTCACCCTGTTGTTAGGGACCGCTCATTATTTATTGTACAGGGAGGGGGATTGAGGAGTAACTGGGGAGGCCTTTAATTTTTTTAAAACCTGAAAGGGGGGGGGGCTTTGAAAAAATACAGAGAGACGAAAGAAGGGGGGCTTCGAAAATATTTACCAGTTTGGAAAAACATTAGTAGTTTTAAAAGTGTATCACAAAACAACTTAACAAATAACAATGTTTATAGACCTTCCATATTCATAAATGAAAGCCAAATAAAAAGTCTTTTATGTTCATGTAAATAAACAATCCCCATTATAGACTAATTTTAGAACTAGGCAAAGAGATGCAAATCAAGGCCGGATTTTGGTGAAAAATGAAAATAGTCATTTGAGCACTCTGGCAATGGCTTAATGTCCCACATTCATGAGACATCAAAGGTGACTATTAATACTAGTCACTTTCATCCTGCTTATCAGCACTACACTGATGAGGCCCAAAAGGCCGAAACGGTACCGTCTCATATTGAGCGCTCTACAGGATGAGTCATGTCGCTTACGCATTGCGCACGCTCACTGCTTGCAGTTTGAGCGCTCTGGCATGGTTTTGATGTCCCACAATCGTGGGGCATCAAAGGTAACTGTAAATAGCAGTTACTTTCATCCTCATGCTCATCAGCACTATACTGATGAGGCCCATAAGGCCGAAACGGTACCGTCTGTAGTTAGATCTCGCTCTATGACCTTTATAGGTCATATTGAGCGCTCTACAGGATGAGCCATGCCGCTTACGCATTGCGCACGCTCACTGCTTGCAATTTGAGCGCTCTGGCATGGTTTTGATGTCCCACAATCGTGAGGCATCAAAGGTAACTGTAAATAGCAGATGAGGCCCATAAGGCCGGTAACCGTCTGTAGTTAGCAGATGAGGCCCATAAGGCCGGTAACCGTCTATATATATATTTATATATATAGCTTAAGGTTTTGGTTTACGAAACACAAACAGTGCTCAATACCATATAGACAGAGCGTAATATAGTTTTTCGTTTTACCTCAAAAAACCACAACAGTCTGTTTCATCCGTATAGGAATCATCAGGTGGTGAATAATTTCGAAATTGTAGGTTGCTTTTATGCTATCGAAAGAATGTGCGGAATGCGTGTAGGCGAAACAATGCTTAGATGAAACAATGCATGCTTGGGTCATTAGGTTTTGTTAACGACCTTGTTTACTCGAAACCGGTTTTTGTGACGACATTTGCCGAAAATTGCGCTTCTTTTATTGAGTAAATTGTCTTTGTTTATGTGTTTCAAAATGCAAAATTTTTCTTCCAAACATAAATTGCAGCGTTTTGATCCCCCTGTGTACGAAATAGCATGTTTTAAAATTGACCATTTGATGGTATAATCCTGATTGTTTTCTTTTAATTTCCAAATATGTTTCGAAAGTTCCGTTTTGTTTGAGTCTTTTTTATGACGAAAAGATGAAGTGTGGTTAGCGTAACGTTCCTTAAATGTAGTCGCTGTCATACCAATGTAGTGTTTAGTGTCGTTCATGTTGTTCGTTGTGACTGTGGCTTTGTAAATAATGTTGCTGGTCATACATTGTTTCGGTAGTGGGCAAGTGTTTTTGTTGTCGCAGTTACAGTTGTCAGTTTCCGTATTCTGTGATTGACTGTTCCTAATTATATGTGCGTTGTGTTTGGTGATTATAGACTTAACATTGTTCATGCAACTGTAACTTACTTTTAAAGTGTTTCTGTTAAAAATCTTGTGTAGTTTGTGCTGTAGTGGGAAATGTCTGTCAATTAAACTTAAGAATTCCCGTCCTATGTTCGTGTTAACACTCTTACTAAATGGTGGGTTGAACCAAATTATGTTGCGTTGCCTATTCCTACGTGTCCGTTGCGGTGCATCCTGAGTGTATGTAAATTCATGATCAAAGTTACTATGTCTGAGAGCGTTCTGGTAAATAGGTGTAGATTCCTTAAATGTTTGTTCGTCTGATGAGAGAAGTGCAATGCGTTTGTTGATAGCTGTAGGTAATTGTCTTGTAATGCTTGGTGGATGGTTTGAGTGTCTGTTGATGTACAATGGATCGTCATTGGGTTTCCTGTATGGTTTGTGTTTTGCGTTGACCAGGTCGAAAGTAACATCTAAAAAATTTACAACGTTCATATTTACTTCGGCGGTGATTTTCAAGTCAAATTGCTCGAAAATTTTGTGTAGCTCTTTTCTAGTTTTGTCTAGTAAACGGACGGATTTGCTTTTTATAATAGCCAAACCATCATCTCTATAAAGGCCGATGTTTCCTTGCCAAACCTCTTACCTAAGTGATTTAAAATGAAAAGGCCTACCAGCTCACAAATTTCAGCGCCGTCGAAACTACCCATAGTGACGTCAAATAAACTGTTCCTTCCGTCTTTTTTTGTCCATAATTTGCCGTTGCCGAAAAGTAGAGATTTTCTTGCGTGTTTTATTATTGAAATATCGTTTTCGGTAATAGTAGTCAAATCCGAAGCCCAGGCCAATGCTTCATTTAAAAGCTTTTCGGAAATGGATGGGTAAAAATCCACAATATCAAATGAAATAAAACTGTGCCTGTCTTTATCGTTTATATTGCCAAACCATGAAATTACTTGTTGCGTATTTCTCCATTGGTATGAATTTAGTTTTTGTCTCAAATTGGAATTGATTTTATCTAAAATAACCTTACTTAGTTTTCCGGATTCGCTTTTTGCGGGATTAATTAGTCGGCATTTTGGATTGTTTTCGAAATTTTCTTTGTGATCTTTTAAAGATATAAATGCTTCGCGTTTTTTCATTCGTTCAATTCTGTCGCCAATTCCTAACCTACTCGAAATTTCTTTCAATTCGGAGTCAATTTCATGTATGAAGTCCTCTGATCCATGTTTGTACGTTTTCGTGATGTTGTCATGTAAGAGTTCGTTGTATGTGTTCAGTGACGTTTCGTAAATGTTTCTAGTTTTGTCCGCGAAAATGAAAATGTTGGGGGATGAATGAATTTTCTTCAAATTGTTAGCCAAAGATGTCTGAAATTGGTCTTTAGGACGCCGGAATTTTACGTTTTCAATTAGTTTTATCAAGTCGTCTTCGAAAGGTTTCAAAAGTGGAATTGAAGGAGGCGATTTGTTAGACGAAAGGCCGAAAGGGTTGCTTTGGTTTTGATTCGTTGATCCTTTTAGGAAGAAATTAGCTTTCCATCTCATACGTTTTGTTACGCTTTCCACTTTTTCAATCAAATTCTTTAAGTAAGCATCCTGTGATGGTATCGGAATATTCTTTAGTGAATAATCGAATCGAAATTGTCGCATGTTTGAAGTAGAAATAAAATGAATAACGTAGACAAGAGTGCACAACCGATTACCGGGTGCGAATATAGCTTAAGGTTTTGGTTTACGAAACACAAACAGTGCTCAATACCATATAGATAGAGCGTAATATAGTTTTTCGTTTTACCTCAAAAAACCACAACAGTCTGTTTCATCCGTATAGGAATCATCAGGTGGTGAATAATTTCGAAATTGTAGGTTGCTGTTATGCTATCGAAAGAATGTGCGGAATGCGTGTAGGCGAAACAATGCTTAGATGAAACAATGCATGCTTGGGTCGTTAGGTTTTGTTAACGACCTTGTTTACTCGAAACCGGTTTTTGTGACGACATTTGCCGAAAATTTCGCTTCTTTTATTGAGTAAATTGTCTTTGTTTATGTGTTTCAAAATGCAAAATTTTTCTTCCAAACATAAATTGCAGCGTTTTAATCCCCCTGTGTACGAAATAGCGTGTTTTAAAATTGACCATTTGATGGTATAATCCTGATTGTTTTCTTTTAATTTCCAAATATGTTTCGAAAGTTCCGTTTTGTTTGAGTCTTTTTTTATGACGAAAAGATGAAGTGTGGTTAGCGTAACGTTCCTTAAATGTAGTCGCTGTCATACCAATGTAGTGTTTAGTGTCGTTCGTTTTGTTCGTTGTGACTGTGGCTTTGTAAATAATGTTGTTGGTCATACATTGTTTCGGTAGTGGGCAAGTGTTTTTGTTGTCGCAGTTACAGTTGTCAGTTTCCGTATTCTGTGATTGACTGTTCCTACGCAATTTTGAAACGTTATAATTGTGTCTATGACTTTGAAACGTTATAATTGTGTCTATGACTTAATTGTGTCTACGTTATAATTGTGTCTATGACCCTATGTGTCTATGACCCTGATACCTTTCTTCCTAAAAGGATCAACGAATCAAAACCAAAGCAACCTTTTCGGCCTTTCGTCTAACAAATCGCCTCGTTCAATTCCACTTTTGAAACCTTTCGAAGACGACTTGATAAAACTAATTGAAAACGTAAAATTCCGGTGTCCTAAAGACCAATTTCAGACATCTTTGGCTAACGATTTGAAGAAAATTAATTCATCCCCCAACATTTTCATTTTCGCGGACAAAACTAGAAACATTTACGAAACGTCACTGAACACATACAACGAACTCTTACATGACAACATCACGAAAACGTACAAACATGGATCAGAGGACTTCATACATGAAATTGACTCCGAATTGAAAGAAATTTCGAGTAGGTTAGGAATTGGCGACAGAATTGAACGAATGAAAAAACGCGAAGCATTTATATCTTTAAAAGATCACAAAGAAAATTTCGAAAACAATCCAAAATGCCGACTAATTAATCCCGCAAAAAGCGAATCCGGAAAACTAAGTAAGGTTATTTTAGATAAAATCAATTCCAATTTAAGACAAAAACTAAATTCAAACCAATGGAGAAATACGCAACAAGTAATTCATGGTTTGGCAATATAAACGATAAAGACAGGCACAGTTTTATTTCATTTGATATTGTGGATTTTTACCCATCCATTTCCGAAAAACTTTTAAATGAAGCATTGGCCTGGGCTTCGGATTTGACTACTATTACCGAAAACGATATTTCAATAATAAAACACGCAAGAAAATCTCTACTTTTCGGCAA